AAAGTTGAAATTTGGTACACAGTTATTGTTTGTTACGAGAATGTACTATAAATTGTGGTAATTAAAGTTTTAATTTACCTCCATTAAAAATGCATTTGAAATTATTCAACTTTTGAAAAATAAAATGTTATCTTTAATTCACATTTTAATCCGCTGTAACAGTCATTTCATAAATAAAATAAAAGTATTTATGATTTAATTGATAATATTTTTACGTCATTAACTTTATTTAAAAATTGTTATAATTTTTAAACCAATAAAAAAAAAAAAAGTTTGCAGAAGGTAGGATCGAACCTAGGTCGCACCACGTTGCAGGCAAGTACGCTACGGACTGAGCCACTTTGCTGTACTACCATAAGGTAGAACCGATCGGTATATAAGCTGCGCTTAAAATTTTAGAGCCTTTTTTCTCGGAATCTTCTGGCTAGTGCACTTTACAATTCTTCTGGGTGGACACCCTTGAGGTATACTACGAACCTGCCAAGTCTCATCCCGAACTGAATTTCCGAGACGGTAAGGTCCCCTTGTAAGTACATTTTATTAAGAAATTAACTCTAAATGCAATGTTTTCTGCTGCAAAAAAAAAATATTGCATTGTTAGTGGCATCATATGTGGCTGTATTTTGAAGTTGAATTTATGTGCAAGTCGTAACATTTTAAGAACCCAAAGTGTAAGTCACAAGAAATTTGGTGCTTAAAACGTTACAGCATCATGTTTACAACATTTTATTATTCCAGAGAATTTGTAACCTAGTTAGTTTTTTTTAATATTTTATTGTAAAATTAAAATGAATTCCTTCAAGACTTGAAGGAATTCATTCACTATGCAGTGTTTTTTTAACTCTCCTGAAAAGTTTTTTTTTGCTTTTACAAAGTTATGGCATGCATGCTTTATTTATTAAAAGAATCTTTATATCATTTCAGTTTTATAAAATTGCAATAATAGTAATAATATTAATAATAATAAATTCCAGAAAGTATTTTAATATGAAAATACCAAGCTAGTGTATCCTTATTTAAATAAAATAATGAATTTAATTGTGTTTATTCACAAGAAAAATAATGGCATAATTTTAATTGCTTTATCTTAAAATCATTAAAATTAATACAAAGCCTATACTATTTTATATAAAACAATAGAATTAAAATCAACTCACGAAGCAGCTCCAACTACTGAGAGAGATATTGCAAGACCAATTCCAAGAGCACACCATATGTAAGGAGATACTCCTTCAAGAAACCTAAACATTTTAAAATTATAACAAATATAAAAAATTATGAAACTTAATAATTATTCAAATTAACAAGAATATTTAATATATTTAAAGCACAGAAGAATGAAAACTTCTGATGCACTGTAATTGTAAGTACAATAGAGCATCGATTATCCGACTCAATTGGGGACTCAGGTTGGTCAGATAACTGAAAAAATCAGATAACCGAAAAGAATGAAAAAAAATACATTATTAGTATAGTACTGCAAGGTCTCATTTTATGCGGTGGATATGTTCTACAGAAAAGCGCATATAAAAAATTCACATAAAAAAAGACTTTACTTGCCTTGAAAAAGTAGGGATACGTTCCGTAATTTTCTAAAATCGCATAAAACCAAAACAACGAGTTAAAATTAACTTAAAACCGCATAAAAAAGTTTGCAGAAATTAAAAGAAATAGGCTGCTTAATAAATTACTTCGAATGTCTGAAAGAAATTCATATAAAATTTAATTTCAAAACAATTACAGTTTATACCTTTCAATGCGAAACTCAGAATGATGTAATAGCGACTTGTCGATGGTATCATGTACAAGGGGAATCCCCGAATTGCAAAAGCTCACTCTAAAAACAAATCACTGACATCTGGATGTGAAGAGTTAATTAAAACCCCTTTAGTTCCTCGCCCGAGTTAACTCGGGCAGGTTACATAGCGTTACATAAAACACGGTCCTTAAGGCCATTTTGGAATTTTTTTTTTGAATTTTTGGAATGTTTTTTAAGTCTCCAAATTTTTTAAAAATATTTAAAAATATACGGCCAGCTAGTGTTCACCCTACTTTAAACCCTTGTCCTCCCGCGACGTCTATGAGAATGCCCCGGGAAATCCAACTCCAGCTGTGTTCAAGGTCATCCAGATGTGTAAACAATGACTCATCGGTGTTAAATTTCACAGAAGGGCGAGACAAAGGAAGTTAAACTTTGAAGCTTTTTCTTCAAAATTAACGCATTTCTTTCGTTTTTTTCAGTTTTAAGTATTTTTTATGTTTAATTACATTTATATCAAAAATTGCTAGGAACTAAAGCGATTAAGGTAGATCTAGCTGTCCTTTACATCCATAAACGTTATATGTCAGCGGAACAAATGGAGTGAGCTTTGAGCGTTCCACGATTTTTGGAGACTGTCTATATGCGGGCTTCCTAAACAAGCCTACATGTATGTTTGTCCAAGAAAATTTTGGATGAAATACAAACCGCACAACTTCAAAATCACATAAAAATAATCTGCATAAAAAGACCTTACAGTATATTAGTATATCCCATGTAATTATTATATCACTTATTAACCAACTTTGCGTTGAATTTTCATTGATGTTAAGCCTAACAAATTTTTTTTTTAAATAATAATTGTCGCTATTGTATCGTTAAAAATTATTTTATTGCTCACAAAACAAACAATCATTCATAAAAGTCTCATTTAAGTACTGGCCTCCCTTCAATGGTCGAGCCGGTGTTGTCAGCTGAAACACGCAAAATTTAACAAAAATAATATTAAAGTAGCCAAGACATAGCCAAATATTGTAGTGCCACATCACTAGTGGACATTTGAAATTTGCCGACTAGAACGGTCGGTTAACCGATGCGATGGTTAATCTGGCGTCGGATAATCGATGCTCTACTGCAGTGTTTTTCAACCTTTTTGAATACGCGACCCCTTTACAAGTTAAAAAGTTCTGGTGACCCCCTAGGGCGATATTAAAACTATATCAGTGATTTTTAAAATTATGTATTAAATTTTTTTTCTGTTGAGAGAAATTATTGTTGACTAAAATGAGAATTTAAGAAGGATCAACAATAACTTATGACACGTATGGTATGATACTTCCCTCATAGGAACATTAAGTTTGGAGTGCTGTTGACCTTTTTTTTTTAGGACGACAGTTTTTAACTTCCACTTTTCTACTTATTACTTTTTTTACAGGTCAGCTCAGCTCTTTTTCAGCTATCATTTTCTGGCCCCTCCCTGGCGAAACCCATCATTCACACCTAAATGTCAATCAAAAAACCAACTGTACTGTATAATAAACAGATACAGCTTTCTTGCCGAAATTGTAGTTTTTTTTAATATAGTGTAGGACCTACAAACACTTGTCTTTTTCTTTTACCCTCGACCCCCCGTGTAAGGCTTCGCGACCCACAGGTTGAAAAACACTGCTCTACTGTATTAATCCCCTTAAATTACACAAAACATTGTTTATGATGCATAAATAATTGATTCTAAAAACTGTTGTTTTGTTTTTATAAATAATTATTTGAAAATACTTTAAAAAAAGAAAAATTATTATTAATGAGTCAGAAAATAGAATAGAAGCTAATTAATATTTCAAACATCAAGCTTAAATATAGAATATATTATGTGTGGTATATTTTTATTAGTATGAAATTTATCATAAAATCACAAATTAATACTATTGTCTTCATTTATCATTTAAAATACAGTTGTCCCTCGATAGTCCGATGTTTTTTAATCCGACATGCTCAGTAGTCCAACGCACCTCCCATCAAGGTACCCGTCCTCGTTACGTGTCTGCTTGCACAGAAGCATGTCGCGATGTGAATCTCCCCATCCAATTCTTACTCGATGACACACATTTCGTGTGTTTTATGTGAGTAGTTCTGTTCAAACAGTTGGAGTAGAGAATATTGTAAGTTACTGCTAGCAAAACAATGCAAAATATGTAATTATTTTCAGTAATCCGGACACTTTTGGTAATCTGACACACCTTTGGTCCCATACCTGTCGGATTATCGAGGGACAACTGTACTTAAATGATAAATGAAGACAATAGTATTGATTTGTGATTATAGTAGTACCTCAGGATACGAAATTAATCTGTTCCGAAACTGAGATCGTATCACGAAAATGTCATAAGGTGAATCATTTTTCCCCATACGATTACATGTAAAACCAAATAATTCGTTCCAACATGAAAAACACACTCAAATTAAAGCTAAGTAGTACATTAAAAAAATTAACTATAGTAAGGAAAACACTGAAAAATGCATTTTGCAGTTGTAAATGTATAAATAATCATAATAGAATAATAATTGATAAAAAAAATGTAGTTTTATTTGCACTTTACCTTTGAGGATAGACGACGGTGGAGGTGTAAACTGGTGGCGGAAGAGAGGAAGAAGGGAAATGATACTAAAACTTAACTTACATAACATAATGTAACAATAATTTAAAAATAACTTAGAAAAGATAAAAAAAATTTGTGTTGTTCTATATATTTTTTTAAATTTTTATTCACTGCTTTTTGCTTTCTTTCCTTCACTTCCACCAGCACTTTCACTGGATAGAGGTTGCTTGATAAAATATCTATCCAAAAAGGTTTGGCTTTGCCTACTTTTTAAAATGTTTCTAAAATGACTTAGGCAAATGTCATTAAACTCAGCAGTATGGCTAGTATGAACCTTTTCAGGATGTTTCTTTTCAATAAAATCAGTCACTTTCTTAAAATATCTCAAGATTTCCTTTATTTCTGCCGAAGTTACAACCTCCTTCTCCTCGCCCTCGTCTTTACTGAACTCTTGAGGGATCTCCATGTGTTGCATCGCCTGTAGCTCCTTCAACTCATCAGTGGTCAACTCATCTTGATGCTCCTCTACAAGTTCATTGATGTCTTCCTCCTCAACTTCCAGCCCCATGGACTTCCCAATTTCATCAATTCAGGCTAGACTTCAGATTCAGGTTCAAATCCTTTAAAATCCCGCAGGGCAACAGCATCGGGCCACAACTTTCCCCAGGCTGAATTTATTGTACGAAGAGTCCCTTCCTGCCAAGCCTTCTCTATAATTTTCAGACATATTACTATGTTGAAGTGATCTTTCCAAAATTCACGCAGTGTAAGATTGGTATTTTCAGTGACTTCAAAACATCGCCTGAACAAATGCTTGATGTATAATTTTTTGAAGTTAGAAATCACCTGCTGGTCCATAGGCTGGAGGATAGGGGTGGTGTTGGGTGGTAGGTAGAGGACCTTAATGAAGTTGAACTCATCGAGGATATAATTTTCAAGACCAGGGGGGTGAGCGGGGCATTGTCAAGGATAAGCAAGCATCTCAGAGACAGGTTGTTTTCCAGCAAATATTTCTTGACCAGATTTACCCATTCAACAAAAAATGATCGAGTAACTCAAGCCTTTGCATTTGCCTTCCACATAACTTGGAGTTTCTCCTTTAGTACTTTATGGGCCTTAAATGCTTGAGGATTTTCAGAATGATACACCAACAAAGGTTTGATTTTACAATCCCCGCTGGCATTAGCACAAAGGGCTAGAGTAAGGCGGTCCTTCATGGCTTTATGGCCTAGCATTTTTCTTTCTTCTGCTGTTATGTATGTCCAGCATGGCATTTTTTCCAAAAGAGGGTGGTTTCATCGCAATTAAAAACTTGCTGTGGGATGTAACCTTCATTTGCAATCAGTTCTTCAAATTGCTTGCAAAACTCCTCGGCTGCCTTTCTGTCCGAACTTGTTGCCTCACCATGCTGTTTCACCAAATGTATTCCAGTGCGTTTCCGAAATTTTTCGAACCAGCCACGAAAAGCTTTGAAGTCGGTTACCTCAGCTGAGCTTTCACCCCCTTGGTCTTTCAAATCACTGAAAATGGCAGTAACTTTCTCACAAATTATTGTTTCTGTGATTGTATCTCCTGTTATTTCCTTCTCTTTTATCCACAACAATAAAAGCCTCTCCATCTCATCATGTCTAGCTGTCCTTTTCTTTGAAATTGTTGTGAACCCTTTCAAAGGATTCACTGCCTTTATTGCCTCCTTCTGCTTGATGATTGTACTGATCATTAAACAGTTTCAGCCATATTGCCAAGTGAGATCAATAATACGCACTCCACTTGCATGTTTTTCTATTATCTCATGCTTCATTTCCAATGTAATCATCCTTTTCTTTTTGTCACCACTATCACTAACACTTGCTTTCTTCGGATCCATGATTATACGGTAATAATA